TAAACTTGCATTCCATATACTCATTCTTGCTTTGAGACAACCTTAAACCCTTATTCTCTAGAGTTTGTCGCCATACTTATAACTTTGCTTTAACACCTGATCTTCTCTCATCAATCAACCTAATACTGTTTGCAAACATCATACATCACGGTATATCATCTTGAATTGACTTCGTGAGTTCATCCATACCTATAGTAAATAAGAAAGGACTCAAAGTCAATCCTTGGTGCACTCCGATAGTAACAGAGCACTCACTCCCTGCACTAGTACGGACACTTGTAACAGTAATACAACCCTTATACGGAACCATAATGATGTTAATACACTTATGTGTCTTTTGACTCTTTTCTAGTTAAATCCCACCAAAGGACTTCTCGAGGTACCTATCATACGTCTTTCCTAATCAAACTACTTAACCAAAATATTAAGATCCTTTCAAAAAAAAAACAAAAAATTCAAATATGTAGACGCCAATTCTTTTCCAGAATTCACAACTTTAGTTGTGACAATCCCACAATATGATATTGTGCAGCCAGTGATGGATCCATGGAGGTAGAGAAACACTCAATATAATTACTCAAGATATGATATTTCAATTTCCTTTTATGAATAGTTTACAACTTTACACATTTACTCGAGGGCTGAGCTCCCAATGATAGTGGTTTAGGTTTCAACTACTATAATTCATCTTCTAGTGCCAAAACACTTATACAGTACGTCATGATCTGGCCACCTCTTTGGCCGGGTAAATAAATTTATTTCTTGATACAAAAGTTAGGACGAACTTGATAATGAGCAACAAGACATGTGACCTCCCAAATATGACCTTGAAGTGTATATTTTCAGAACCATTTATTCTCCTAGGCCCTAGCAATCGGCTAGCATCAATCATCTCAAGTTCTTAACCATATTCAACATTAGAATCTAGTGTGGGAGACCAAGGTTGCAAAAATGTCATCATTTGAGGAAGTTTTACACAATGGTTTTTGTAAAAATTCGAAGTATAGTTGGGATGAACTCTAAAGAAAAATTACAACGCCTATGCACCAGGGAGATCATGATGATAAGAATGCACTGAAATTGTCCAGTATGGACCTCAACTTTCACGTGGTGGGAGGGGGGGTCACATTGATCACCTTACTCTCAGACTGATGGCCCGTTATAGCATGTAATCTAATTAATAAAATGAAGGCTAAAGGGTCAAATAGGCCCTCGAACTAACTTAAAAAGTTCACCCCTTATATAGGAGGCTCAGTCCGGCCGTCGCCAATTGGGACGGTTCCCGGTGGAATTTTTTGATGACATTTTTTGAGCATATTCTTCATTAAGTTTAGTTTACTAATATCAAATTTCAGTTAAAAATTCAATCGGGAAGGCAGTCAAATGGATTTTTGAAGATAACTGCGCAGTGAAACAGCGCAATACATTTCAAAAAATGATTTGACTATCTTCCCGGTTGAATTGTTATCTGAAATTCGGTATGGGTAAACTAGACTTAATGGGATAAATTAAACTAGACTTAATGGGATAAACTAGACTTAATGAAGAAAATGCTAAAAGAAATCATTAAAAAATTCCACCAGGAACTGCCTCAATTGGCGACGTCCGGACAGAACCAGGGGTGAATTGCACTTATTAAGTTAATTAATAATATACTTTTAGTGCTAATTTTGTTTGGTATAACCTTAGAGTTCTTTTCATGGAGTTTTAGCACTATTATTCTACATTTTTAGTCCATTCACAAGCTAATATCTTTAATTCTTTATCGCTATTTTGAATTATCCTTACTTCCACTTTCCTCACAAGGATAAGAATTTATTAGAAGAATTAACAATTACCCCATCCAAGATGCGAACGGGAAAAAGCTTACGCTGCAAACGAAGTCCAGGTCCCAGAGGATTGACTCTAGAAATCTGTTCATAGTACACACAAAAAGAACTAATTAAACACACCAAGAACATAGAGTTATGCATATACATCCATCTTAATGCACCCAAATTGCGTGTGTTACCTTGAGATCGTCATGGGAGTCAATCGGAAAGTTACATGGGAAAACCAAAACGCATAAGCGCGGAGGTTTGAAAAGAGAACAACCTTTAGACGAGCGAGAGAAACATACACGTGAGAAAGTCGTGTGCAGATTCGAAACCGATGAAGTGGAAGATCGCATATTCGAAGCAGAGAAAGAGTGAGGTAGCATATTGTCCGCTGAAATTTGCCGAATAATATGTTCTTACGAATCCAGAGCTTTCAATGAGCTCGGCGGGTGCATGAACTTTACTGGCTGTTTGTCGAGCGTTGTCATATGGGGGCATTTAAATTAGGGGATGGGAGTATGCAGTCACGCTTAAATTTGACTTTCCACCTTATTTCTCAAATGGAAAAAGTACAAATAAGTCCATGTACTAACCAAAAAAGGTCAAATAAGCGCTTGTTTAGGAGGCTCTGTTCGACCGTCGTCATTTGGGGTGGTTCCCGGTGGAACTTTTTGATGAATTTTTTTTAGCATCTTATTCATCAAGTGTAGTTTACTCATACCAAATTTCAGCTAAAACTTCAATCGAGAAGGCATTCAAATGAATTCTTGAATATAACTGTGCTTCTAACTACGCAGTTATTTTCAAGAATTCATTTGAATGCCTTCCCGATTGAAGTTTTAGTTGAAATTTGGTATGAGTAAACTACACTTAATGAATAAGATGCTCAAAAAATTTTATCAAAAAATTCGACCGGGAACCACCCCAAATGGCGACGACCGTACAGAACCTCCTAAATAAGGGCTTATTTGACCTTTTTTGACAGTACATGGGCCTATTTGCACCTTTTCCCTTTCTCAAATGATTAATGTATGCATTACATTAAAAGATCTGTTAGTTAGAGTTAAAGATTATCTTTAAAAAGACATGACCTCTTGTTGTGGCCAAAAGAAGTAAAGAACCACACTTACTACACTTTTTTATATTTTTGGACTATTTTTCATTCTCATCGTGCCCCTTCATTCGGTTGTGTTTAGGTCTTCCGGAGCCCTTGAAGGTATAAGTGGGAAAACAACTTCATTCCCCTGCCAATAATAAAGTTGATGTCAATTTTATAAGTACAACTCTTTGTCAATTTTATATACAATAAATAACAGTACCTCGGGCCAATCACTTTCATGTAAAATTCACTAGTGGAAAATACACTTTTTATATGGGTTAAAATGCACTTTTAATGTCGGTTCCGGTGGCGACATAGTATCCCGCGATATTAAAAGTCAGGTACCTTTTGTGTCGGGTAAAGGGACCCGTTATTGAATGTTATTTATAACGGGTACTTACGTAACCGTTATTGATTGTTTTTTATGTCCGTTCATAAATACCCCATATAAAATCTATTTTATATGGGTTATCACATCAACCGTTATTGAATGTTTTTTCCTAACAAAACCTATATTCTACATATTATGCATTATATAACCTTGCTTGTATAGTGTAATCAACATAAAATGACACCAACAAATTGGAATCATGACAAATATATATTCATAATCGTAGCAAAATTACAAATTTCCACATAATACACCATCCATTCCAAGTTAAAGCTACAAAATTTCACATGTTCAATCCAAGTCAAAATTATAGACTTCAACAGGATATACCAGCCATCACCATTCATACTACAGACATATCAAAATAGAACCTTATCTAATCTAATATATTTAATAACGGGTGCTTGTAGTGTCATAAACAAATGATGCCCAACGCTTTCTTGTCTCGTTAATCTCTCCTTCAGTGAATTGCTCTTGAACATTAAATGTCTGCAAAATATAAAAATAAAAATAAAAACAGACATTCAATAAAATATAAAAATAGAAGTAAAATTGTGTTTAATGAAATATAATATAAAAGAATTAAAGTATAAATTTGATGAAGCACAACTTAAAAAAATTAATCACCTCAATCCATGAATCAACGACAACAGCAGATATTATAGTATCCATATGCCTCATAACATGGTACCCACACTCATGGCTTCCTCTTTGCATTTGACACTGCAAATAGATGTACATGTAAATATCTCCTCTTACTACTCTGTCAGGTACCCAAAAAGAAAGAATACGAATGCAAAAGAAACAAAAAATATCCCAACATCCCAGACTATAACTATGTTTGAATTACCACTCCAAATAACAATAAAAGCATAATTTGCAGACATCTAACCACTACCCAAATTGCGCTCCATCAAATTTGCAGACATCTATGCACTCCAACTAACAATAAAGTATAAGCTATGTTTGGATAATTTGCACAAATCTATCCACTACCCAATAACAATAAAAGCATAATTGAAATTGTACTCACCGGAACAAGATTGTAGCATATAAACAAAGTCACATAACGTATAGTATTTTCACTTCAAATCAGATTTTGAACATCATGAACATTATGGCAGCTTTTGATAGAAGACATAGAATTAACATCCTATTATTTTTAAATGTACTCTAGTGCATTGCAAAATCAGCCCAAATATATATACAATTTTATAATGCAAAATCAACCCCAATATATACAGTCATTAAAAGAACTTACGACATTGCATGATAAGTATGAAAAAATACTTACAACTGGCTTAATCCATTTTGGTTTGGAACTCCTCCTATTTTTGGTTATTTGGTGTGCTTGCATTGCCCTTAATTAAAAAAAAACAGAAATAAGTCATAATTTTTTAGCCATAATCAAAAGTACACATTTGGTGTACAAAATTATATACTTACATATCCAAAACACTCTTCACAGTTGTCTTTGGCTTATTCCCCAAGGAGCACAAAAACACAATAATATTTTGCTTTAGACACAATACGAATAGCTGCCAGTGGTGACTGAAATAAAACTGTTAGCGATAATTATTTACATATTAATTGAGTTTTATAATAAGCTTGTACTTACGGATAGTAATATGGTACTAGGTAGCAGTCCTTGTTGTCCTTGAGGTGAGTTAGGATGTATGTTTGAGTTTCATCACGCTTGTTTCCCAAATCTTGAATGATATAAGGGTCAAAGAATCCATACAAGTGCGTATTGCTCTTTTTACTGCACAATTTGTGCAAGTACCTGTAATTTAAGAATAACATGAAGGTTGAAAAATAATGATCCCAAAAAGATTACATAGTACTAGTGAACCTGTAATGATCTATTTCTATAGACAACAATGACCAAAATTTGAGAAACTAAGAGCCCTTAGGGTTTGTTTGGTTCAGGGGTTCCGCGATTTTGCAGGGAAGTGAACGGGAGGGGGCATTTATTTTTTAGTTATTCCAGATTTAGGTAAGTGGCAATAAACTGAAGTTATAAAACCAGATTAGAATCACATAATCTAAGTAATCACAACTTAGGAAAAACCAGAATTATTAAGACCATAATGATCTAGATTGGCAGGTTAGGACTTTAGATCATAAATAAAACAACTAATTAGGATGGGCCTAATTAGACCATAATGAAAGTCAACAAATATAACTTGGCTGGCAACAGTTTCAAATCATTGAACAAAATCACAACTATCTAAATCAACTAAATTTAAAGGTTTGGACTTCAGATCATCAATGAATTGCTTCCTACTAAACAAACATTCCAGCTTGGTTTTGCCGAACTGAAATACCCAAACAAAAATCAAACCATAAAAAATTCAGTTTTAGCTTCATAATGTTTTCCCAAACCATATGAAACCAAACTGAAACTGATTAGCCAAACTGACAGATTGAAAAATAAAACCCAATAAAAACCAAACCGAACTCAATCCATTCCAATCCAAACCGAACTAAATGTTGTTTAAACTTGACAATCGTTTTAAACCAAACCAAACTGCAATCTGATAAATCAAGCAGAACCTGAAATTGTAAAGTATTATGAACAAAGGTAGAAAGTAATCAATACAAGTTCAAATTGTCACATTTCCATACCATTTGCATGTCCTATAGACTGATAATTTTTTAAATAGTCCATGTCATTAGCATAAATTAAACTAGACAATATGATAACGATGTTATTTCCACATACATTGGATGCACATACGAAAAAGAGTAGAACAATATACTATGAAAATGGAGTATGACACGATTATCCAAAAAAGTAGCAACCTTTTGAGCATAAAACCCCAAGTTCAGCTAACAATAAACTATTATTAAAATATTTTAATATCGATTCGATTTTCAATCTGAAGCCTTAAGAACTATACACTATTTCATCAATAAATTGTCCAAAAAAGTAATATAATTATATGAAAGAGTAGTGAACGAGACCTTGTACCGACATCTCATCCTTAAATTGTAACCCCTTAAGGCATGTTTGAAAACACAGCAACCAAAAACAAAGTTCTACCTCAACGAAAAATCTCAACTTACATTGTCCAGACTTGCAGAATCTTTGTACTAAGCATCTGATTACCCGAACATATCTCCATTATCTCTTCTGAACCGAGAAAAATGGAGATATCAGCAGCACCAATGACATCTCCTTTCAAGATCAACTGTATAGGCTGTCCATCAAGGCGTTTAGTCATTTCTAGCAAACATGAAATTGGATCCTTATGCATGCTGGTCGCATTTACTTGGTCACTGTCATCACCCTTCACACAATAAAGTGCTTAAATTTACTAGAGAAGTAAATCTTAAAAACAATATATTATTGAATATCTTGTTTTCATAGACTTGTTATAAAATTGATAATAAGGATTTCAGGAAAAGAAGTGTGTAAAACAGTGTTACTTTCTCACCTTTTGATGTGCTTGTTTAGCCTTCTTATTGGGGTTAACTAACCGTTTTGGCCATTGAATGAACTGTTTAGGGGCTTGCCCCACAGTTTTAACTTCATCACTTACAATAGGAACCAATGCAGCTCCATCTATAACCTCTATCACCTCCACCCTAACAAAATCCGCAGCTATTTTTTGATGGTGGATAGTAGGGCCCAAATTGTGTACCTAAATATATTTCCAAACATAATTTCTTAGCGTAAATTTAATCATGTATTTAAGAATGTATAAAAACTGAAGGTATAAAACCAAATTTTTGTGGTTCTTTATTTTAAAAAAGAGTACCTTCCCCATGGCTACTAGGTGAAAAGGAGTATCCACATAAAGGGGAAAAAGAGTAACTTCGGATAAAAAAAATAATCATATTAGAAACAGGACTGCCTGGTTTATATATACACAAAACAAATTCCAGGTAAAAAAAATAATCACTAGAATACTACATGTACACAAAACTAGCTCGGGGTAAAAAAATAATCATATGTTTTAGATAATAATTTAATTAGGCTATTAGAAAGAGGACTGCCTAGTCTTAGTCTCTTAGATAATAAGTTAATTAGGAAAAAAAGAAATAATTAAAAAAATTACACATCATATTGTGAAGAAACATTCATTGGAAATTCCATTGGGGAACTTTAGCAAAGATATCACATTCATGTCAAAGCTAAAAAATAACCAAGTAAAACTTAACATATTTTATCTAAACTTTGAAGGGAAAAAACAACCTTAAGCTAAAACTGTATACAACCTTAAGCTAAAAAAGATTTCATGCTTCAACACATAAAGAATGGTCTCAAAAATGCTCTTGACGCCGTTAAGTAATGAAAGGGGGGAATCAGAATTTCTTAGAAGAATGGTTTTGTGAGCCACCAAGAAAAATCCGCAGTGATACGAAGCAGTGGATTTCTGTGTATATATACAGAATTAAAACACTGGCCGTACGTAAATATTTTTTTTTAAAAAAAGTGAGGTGGGGTAAGTTAAATGCAAAACAGAGAAGTAAGTGAGGAGAGTAAAGGCATTAGTTTGTTTGGTATAATAATAAACAAACACAAGAATTGAAGAGTCGGAAAGCATTGAATGGCGTCCAACTAAATAGGCATGCCAATATATACAATTATTGTTTTTAGTCGAGAATGATTCTTGTTATTAATCAAATGAGTCATGCTAGCAATATGTAACAACCTGATGAGATACGTACAAGTAACAACCTGCCAGGGGATGATTACAGATTTAATGTATGTACGGATAATACTAACTAGTTAATTTAATTGAGATAAATTAGGCTTTAATACAAGTGCTATATATGCTCTCAGCCCTTGGGTTTTCATTGAGACATTTTAACAAATAGGTAACAGACATTAGACAACTAAAAACATAAACCTAAAAATCTTCCAGGTTCTTCATAAATCAAAACGAAATTAAACTGATACCAGTGAAATATATACATGAATCGATTGTGAAAAGTAAATTGATGTGTAAAAACGACCAGTGTAAGATATGATGTGTGTGGACGTTGAACAACTTTCAGATTAAACAACTTTCTAACACACCTCTTCAGGATGTTAAACTTTAGCAAAGATATCACAAATACCAGTGTAAGAAAATTACCCGTTGGAAAAACGACCTCTGGCGAAGGAGATGAAACGTTGAAAGAAGGAGCGACGGAGGTGTGTGGATACGGCGGAGGTGTGGATACGGCGGAGGTGTGGATACGGCGGAGGTGTGGATACGGCGGAGGTGTGGATACGGCGGAGTGCGGTCGTCGGTAGGCTCTCTCTCGCTGCTCTCTTGCTGCTGAGGCTTTAATTTCGTAAGTGTGCGGCTCCTTTCAAAACCCTTCTCATTTACGAAGTGTAAGGCCTGGCAGCAGGGGTTAATTTTAAAACACTATCAATAAGGGTTACAAGTAAACGGACATTGAAAGTATATTTTTTTAATTAAAAAAATGACCCCGTGCCGGATCAAAGCTTTTGAGATTTAGGAATATGACCCCATATATACTTTCTATAGCGGGTTAAATTAGTAACCGTTATTGATAGTATTTTTATTTTATAAATTTGCCCTGTCCTATGAGATGAAACTTTTATTAATTATGATTCAGACCCCGTGTTATCATACGGTAACGGTTCTAAACCAACCCATATTAAATGTTAGTTATAGAATGCTTATTTTGTACTAGTGATTGGTTTGATATTTGATTCATATGTTGATTTGTAAGCATTAACACTTAGGAATAGACTGCAAAATTTATATGAATGTTTAATGACAATAAGAGTTAGTTGTATTAAAAAATTGTAAAACAAGTTCTTTTTGCAAAGGTAAAAGAAGTTAATAATAATCTCCAAATGACACTTACTGAGCTAATGGAAGCCTGAGGTGGCTGATTAACTGCACTGCGTGCACACATGGGATATCTGTCATTTGCCACTCAAAACACTCACATTCATGATTGTTTAAGTTAACAACCCAATGTGTTCCAGTAAATTTCCTTACACAAAATAACCCTTCACTTGAAGGAGTGGTCACAAAGTCATTTTGTTTCTCCTTGTACATTGCCAGAATGTTAGCAACCCTAGGTACCACGTCATTGTCATTCCAACTACTATCTAATTTTATGTCATATATACATAATCTTCATAATTAGAAAAGACATGCCCAATACCATAGAGCACACTGGTTTTTCTCTTTCACTTGATATAAAACTATTAGGAACTATTATAACTTTATGTAAAGTTATTGGTGAGGTGCTTGCTGTTACAGATTGTGTAGAAGTGGCCCCTTGACCACAACTGTGGACCGATCTCAATCAAGTAATCCTTGCTACCAACGGCTACATTTTCTAGATTTTCAAGTTTTTTTCAAAGTGTTTTTTTTCATATGCCGAGGCAGTTGCCCAAGCCAGTTGCTTGATGTGTTCCCCTTTCCACCACTTAGACATGTTATTGAAGATATGCCTAAAGCAACTCCTTGGATAGCAACCATCTAGATGTGTTTGAATGCTAGTAATAATGGCTTGAACTTTATCTGATATAACAGTGAGTGGAAAAGCATGTTTCTTCAGTTCAGGGGCTATTAGTTGTTGAAACTTATCCCAGTTTTCACCATCTTCTTTCCTACAAACGAACACGGCGAGAGGAAACATACGATTATTCTCATCCATGCTAATAGCCGCTAGGCACACTCCTTTATATTTACCATTTAACAAACATCCATCTAAGACTACCAATGGCCTACATCCATTTTTTCAACCATCTAAACTAGCCTTAAAAGCAACACACAAGTATTTGAATTTATTTCTGCATCATATTTCCATTCAACTAAACTACCGGATTTAGAAACTCCAACTTGTCTACATAGTTCTGGGACTTGAGCGTAACTTTTTCATGATTCCCATGCACCTCCTCTAACGCAAATAGCCTTGTGTGCCATGCTTTCTAATAATTTATGTTTACGGTCCACCTCTGCCAAGCTATGGCAATTATATCTCGAGGTGTGTAAGTCTTATGATGCAACTTCATGTCTTCAGCAGTCATAGTAACTATCCACCTAGCAGTTGTCCCTCTATTCGTGTTACTTCTTCCATCATTCTCACAAGTGTGTTCCTCGTGCAAAGTCTTAACTTCAGCTATATATGTGGTCATCATTTAATCTTCTAATATAGCACCTAGCATTCTGTTAGGCCACATCTCGTTTCTAGGAAGGATAGCCAGAGACCATGCTAGTCCAGGTGCTTTTATGTATTATTACTTTGTTTTTTTTTTTCCTGAGTTTGTGCATTTTCATCATAGTGAATTACTAATTGTTAAATTGTTAGCAAGGAGGAAGAAAAACAGATACAATACGAGGCAATTTAATTAATCTTACTTGCATCCGGTAAAGGGGTCATCTTTCTCTTCGTCGGCAATTTCTTAGGCGTCCTCTTTGTTAGTTCTATTGGGATTGCCGTAGGTGCTTATGAGTCCAATACAAACTCTTCGCATTCTCCTGAAGTGAAGAAATCGACCACTCGCTCACCATCTTGATTAAGATAGTTCATATATGCATATCTATCTTCCCAACAAAGCTTGGAGTTCATATCTCATCTTCAATGGCCGAAACCCTATTTCAACTTAAGTGAGAATTGAGAAATAACGAACAATGGCCGAAATTCAGAAGAAGGTAAGTGGTGTATTAGGTAAGGGCATTGTAGTCTTTTCAATTGAGGCGGACGGAGGGAGTTACTCTGTTTCACAGAGTATATTACAGAGAGGGTGCAGATATTAAGGTTTTATCAAACAGGGTGCAAAGTCAAATTTACTCAATGAAGTGGGGTGTAAACTTCAACTCCCCCTTTAAAGTATGGGGAGATGTCGATGGAGTTGGGTTCCTGGTTAGAACACAGAGGAAGCGGTAGTCAAGATGAAAGATACCGTTTATGTACATGAGAGAGAAATTTGTAAGAACCGTAAGAAAAATGAAACAAAAATGAAAGTTGGAAGATAATTCAAATACAGATGCAAATTTTGGTTCAGGTTGAATTGATTTGCACAAAAGCAAGCTTTATGTTGCACTAAGATTTATATTCTGTGATATTGCACTAAAATAGTTTCATATTGTACTAAAATTTGACGATGTTGCACTAAAGTAACTTCATGTTGCATTGTAGCACAGATTTTTCAAAAATATTTACGAAAACGTAATCACACATGGTTGTATATTTTAGTAGAATATAAATCTCTTTTACTGCAACGTAGTCAAATCCCACGACTGATATTCATTCTCACTTTTCACCTAAGGACTTCTTCTTTACCCTATAGAGAGAGAAATGATCACAT